GCCTCAGTGTGTAAGTTTCGGCATTTGGCCATGCATGCACAGCCGCCTTCCTTACTCCACGCAGTATTGCCCCCACAAGTGTACCTCCAGAGGAGAATCGTGTCAATGGAAATCAAGTGCTGCCAACAGTGTCAGTGACGGCATGCAGTGCTAAAAGTGCATAGGGGCGCCATGCACTTCCGGCACTGCGAGCAGGCTGGGCTCTCAAGTCACTACACCACCCCGGGCGTCACCCCGTTAAGGGTGATGAGGACTAGAGGCAACAAGAGGGTAACTGAGCAGCAAAAGACTGTAGGGCTGAGAATCAGACACTGTAACCACATATTGCAGTGGCATGCTAGTGGCTATCAACAAAGCCGCACAACCTTGAACTGACCAGGGGCAAGGATCAAAGCAACAGCAACAATGCACGCTCAGAAGAAGGGTGGCGGTAGCAGCGGCAAACCATGTTGCACCAACCCTGGCTGCACCATGACATGGCAGGGCCCTGGGGCAATGACAGGACATGAAGCAGCTGCACCATCACAACCAACCACGGGATGCAAAGCACTGAGTAAGTGAGACCAGGCAAAAGGCTAGAACAACACCAAAGTAGGACAACAATGTAGGGGCGTAAACAAAGTGCTGCCCAGACACACCTACGCCCCAGCATAGCGTCCAATATGTGATGCCATCAGCCCGCTCCTAACAGAGACTGCCTGGAGAGAAAAAAAAAAAAGGGTAAAAGATGGCTACTGATCATTAGACCAGGCCAACACCCTGCCAACAGCAGTATAACAGAGCTGCCAGAACCAACACCTGCCTTCCGGCGCAGGCCACCCTAGACCAAGCCCAACTGCCTGCTGAAACCGTACACAGCGAGACTGTTGCTGCCAGACTCTGGAGCATGCAGCGACAGGGCAGAGCTCTGCCACACTGTTGCTGCTGCTGCTGCTACTGTGTCAGGGGCCTGCTAGCGGCTGTCGCATGCTGCAGCGCGCCAGACAGAAACACGATACTGCTGATGCTGCGTACTCGAGGACGGCTGCACGCCTTAAGGACGTCAATCCAGCAGGGGCTGCAAACCTTCGATGCTGCTCCGACACCAGCCTGCAATGGCGCAGGGCTGCAACAAAGGCCCCGCGAGATGAACCTCTGAAATTCCAGACGTTGTCGAGAAGGCAGCTAGGCGGTATCGGAGGTGCCAGAGAAGCGGCACCAACGACTGCACACGTCAGACTGATGCTGCTCGCCTAGTGCAAGGTCAAGGAGCTGCCAGCCCGTCAAAAAAGCTGACTGCTTTAGATCTAGCACTGTAAGGCCGCTGCCGGTCTTCTATGCTGTCGCTTGCGACTCGCGGGCCGCGCCCAGCAAAGGCCGGGTGGGCAAAGCAGAGCCGGAGCAGTTTAATGAGCAGCAAAGGCGGAGGAAGAAGAGGGGTTACATGGTGTGCACAGGCGACTACGTCGCAACGAACACCCGAAAACAAAGAGAGCTGCTAGAAGTTCAGCGGAAAAACAGACTGTCACCCAAAAGAGGCCCACCCCGAGAAAGCCTCTGTGTGCGAGACATGACACGTGGCTCTGCAGGCAGAACCGTCAGACTCACAACACGCAGTGTAGAATTCTATTGGGACAAGCAGCATGACTAACCTAAAACAGTGTCGGTGACAGCAGGCCATACTTGTGCAGTACAGCGGGCGGGCTGAACTCAACGGGACAAAGTTGGCCAGTAAAGGTCAATACCTTGGTCCGAGGCAGCAAACAGGGGGGGGGGAGCAGAGTACCTGGCAGCTGCTGCAGGGGCAATGCAACTGCATATTGCAGCAGCCGCACCACAAACCGTACAGCTCCTGCAGCGCAGGACCACCAGTCTCAGGCTTGACAGAGAGCAAACGGGCATAAATACATGCAGAATGGTGGCTATCACCGCCGTACCACACGCAGACCATTACCCCGCAACACAGTGTGCCAGGAGATAAACGGCTGCCGGGTCAACAGCTGGTTCTTGCACCGCCGCGGCACTCTGGCCGTAGCGGCAAAGTCAGCAAGCGCATCCCAAAAAGCACCAAGTGCCGCACGTACCGCCACCTGCTCCACCAGCACAGGCACCACAAGATCACTTGCCACAGCCCAGGCCGCTCTGCGGCCTTTTTCAAACGCATGTATAGATGCCAGGCAGACCATATCCCACACCAGTCGGTGCACATTGTGATGAGGGGAGCAAGCCAGCCACACCGCACGACACGGCAGGCTCTCACCTGCCGGCAACATGTTGAATGCTCTTAGCTGACCTTCAACCTCTTCACGCACAGCAACTGCAACAGGACACGTCCAGAAATGGTGCTCCACACCCGGCACAGCAGCAGAGCACGCCGCGCATCCCGTGGCAGTCTGCATACGCTGAGCAGTAGGGAATGCATTCAGGGCCAGGCGCCACGCAGACTCTTTGTACACGTTAGCCACCCGCACACACCACCACCGTGACAAAACCAGTCGCACCGGTGGCAACTGTGCCACGGCCGGCAACCCATCCAGGGCTCTAACACTAGCAACAAAAGCTGCATGACGGGGAGCAATTGCTTCTAACGCACGGAGGCTTTGCAGCTGCGTGGCAGTAGCGACAGTCAGGTCCTTCAATAACACAACATCATCAGCACCGCCTCCTGGTCGCCGCCAGCCCAAGCTCGCACACATCGTCTCCCGCGCTAGCAAGAGGTCATCTGGGAGTAAAGAAGATAACTGCGCAATGGGCGCACCCGCAGCAACAGCCGCGGTGAAACGCGCCCGCGCCGCAGCAACCCATGCAGCTGGCACCAATGTCAGCAGGGCCTGCACATGCCGGCGGGCCAGCTGACGGTCACCATACTGCGGCCTGCTGCACAACCAAGGGCCCCACACCTCACGCTCATAGGCTGAGCGCTGTGCCGAGAGCCCAGGGAGAGCACAAACTCGGTCCAGCTCTGCCAACAACACCACCGCCTGGCCCAGAGACTGCAGCTTGGGGAGCTGCAGCAGGCCAAACGCCACCGCATGCTCCAAGCCCACTACCACCTCACGCTGTTGGTCAAACCACTGCCAAGTTTGTACCGCCGTAAAAATAGGGTTCGCCCATAGTGGCGCGTCCCAGCACAAACCATCCACATCCAAAGGCTGGCTGCCCACATGCCGCAACGGCGGCAAAGCGCGCAAACCCATAGCCAAAACCCGCAACGGCTTGGGCAGGACCACATCAGCCTGGGCAACCGGGAAAATATGACTTCGATGACATAACAATATGCCCCAAGGGCTGCTAGCTGTGGCGCGTGTAAAACAATCCACTGTACTGGCCCAGCGCGTCCAAAGAACGCGCGCCACAGCCACCCAAGGTGCAGTGCCACCTTGCATGAAAGGCAGAGCCTCACAGGCCCAACGCGACAACAGATGATGCTGAATTGGCATCAAACCAAAACCACCACACTTAGGATGGGCTGCCATACAATCGCTTGGGATACCAGGGGCCCGCCGCAGATCCTCATCAGGGCCCTTGCCAGCATCAACTAGCGCTGCTGTCCACCGCGTCAAATTGTCCGTCACTGTAGCAGGCAGTTGACCAGCAAACTGAGCAGCATATAGAAGGGTTGACAAGGCGTAAGCATTGGCCGCAAACGCCCTGCCAAAAGCGGACAACTTGGAGAGGCGACTTATGTTCTGCATGCGGCTCCGCACCACCTCCAATCTGCCCTCCCAGTCCACACTGCTGTTGCCCCGCCCATCAAACACGACCCCCAAAGATTTCGCTTGCTGCACCAGTGGCATGGCACCCAAGTTCTGCCCCGCCCCACTCGTTACAGCCGCCGCTCCTGGCAGCTGCCCTACCTGCAGCAAACGTGATTTTGCGGGGTTCAGTCGCTGACCAGAGGCTGCAGCGAAATCATCCATGCAACCGAGGAACGTGGGCACATCAGCAAGCGACAGCAAAAACACCTCAGCATCGTCAGCATACTGCGTCGCCGCAAGCTGTTGGCTGGCTGCAACAATGCCAATGCCGCGCTGCTTCAAGAAGCACAGTAGCGCCTGCCCAACAAACAGGTATAACAGAGGTGCCAAAGGACACCCCTGTCGAACTCCAGCCTCGCAACGGTAAAAAGGACTGCCAAAACCATTCACTGTGGCGCATGTGTGCGTATCCGTTAGCAGCGTGCGCATCCAACCGACAAACCCATGTCCGGCCCCAAGCGCTGTTGCTACATCATACAATAGTGATCTATCCACAGTGTCGTAGGCTTTGGCAAAATCAGTAAAGACAACAATAGCCATACGTTGCTCTGCATTGAGCAAGGCAGGCAGCGCCTGCAGCAGCCTGATGCTATCACCAATATGCCGGTGCTGCAGAAATGCTGATTGTGCAGGGTGCACAATATCACCTGCCACTGCCAAAAACCGATTGGCAAGCAATTTGGCTAGAAGGCGATAGTCATAGTTAAGCAATTGTATTGGCCGATATGCAGCTGGGTCAGCGACATCCCCGCCTGGTTTCAGCACAGGCAAGATAACCCCATCCAACAGACCATGCGGGACACGCTGTGCTGCACCAACAGCCGAATACAACGCTGCCAATAACGGTGCAAGTTGCGTCTTGTACTGTCGATAGAACTCCCCTGGAATTCCATCCAGCCCAGGTGACCTGCCCGGGGCAGTCTGAGAAATGGCTTCAGTCACCTCACCAACGGTGACATCTGCAGCTCCAAGCTGGGCGGCTGCCGCTGCATCAAGACGCTGCGAATGCTGCCTCACTGCTTGCAGCACAGCCTGCCGTTGTGCCTGTTGAACCTGAGGTGCCACAGTCAGGTCAGCATACCGCCTACCGATGATACGCGCCAGACTCACACTGTCACGCACCAGGTGGCCAGTACCCGGGGCTCGCAGGCCTCCAATATACGTGGCCCCCTTGGGAGGCTTCAGAAAAGGCGGAGGAGGTATCGAAATTAGACCGCAAAAAATGCCGCTCATGTAGCGGGGGAACTTCCATCGCACACACATGCGCCATTAGTGTAGTGGTTAACATATTCGCCTTCCAAGCGAAAGAGACGGGTTCGATTCCCGTATGGCGCACTTATGCTGGGCCTCGATTTTTTGCCAGAAACATAAGCCTTAAAAGGCGTTAATGTCAGGAGCCATGGCACCAGGGGTGTGCCATTTCAGGTTTTGGGCTCCTCGTGAAAGTAATTACATGAAATCTGAAATGAAATGAAAATTGAAACGCGTCACTTGAAATAGTGAAAGATGCCTGAGCAGCAGCAACAGCAAGCGGGCGGGCAAGTTCAAACTGCAGGCCCTGCCCGGATCGGACTCGCGCGATCACGGCACGCACTCGGCAACGATGATGAAACGTCTAGCAAGAAGCATAAGGGGCCAGCTCCCAACTTCGTCCGCAACTCAATCAAGGTAGACAATGGCAAGCACACGGGGTAGCGCAGCATGCTAGCTCAATCACGGCACAATATGGCTTTGGTTTTGTTAGATGTGTGCTTCCTTGCGTTGAGCAGCGATTTCTGCAGTTATTGTAGGGCAGGAGTGCTCTCCTGCCATGTGGGAGGTGATGCAGCATGCTGCAGCCCCTTGCAGTTCACTGCAGTAGGTTGCTGTGCATGGGTCCCAGGGCATTTGCCATGCTGTAACCCCTCAAATGATACACTAATGCTATTCAAAGGGTTCTGGTAGAGCCTTGCGCAACCTAACGTGTTCCTCGCTCGCCAAACGCCCATTTCGCTGTCATTTCACTTTCCGCAGTGGGGCTCAGATCGAGTGAAATTTGCAATGAAATTTGCAATGAAATGAAAGAAATTGTAAAATGAAATTTGTAATGGCACACCCCTGCATGGCACACCAGGGTGGAGGGTGGGTGCAGCTTCTGCAGGGTTCTGAGGAGGCTCTATGCGTACTTGGTCCTAGTTTGCCGCCATGGTCGGCCTCTTCCTGCTCATGTCAGCCGATTTAAATAATAAGTTGGCTGGTTGCTCGCTAGGTCTATGTTAACAGCGGATGGGCCCGTGCCCGGGTCGGGCTGCGGGTCGACTCGCTCGGTTACACAGATATTTTCATCAAGGCTAATCAGATACTTTTCACGTCATGCACCAAAGTCTGGGCGTCGTCACCCGCGCGGATGAGGGTGCTGGTGCTTGAGGAGCTTCTCCCCTGTTTGGCTACGGTCATCCTCCAGTTACGTGAGGCCTCACGTCAGAGCTTTACGCAAGATTTCGGTGAAGCTGGAGTGCTGGCGTAAGGGCTGGAGCAGCAGTGCAGCTGAGGGCTGTTGGGCAGTGTGCTCTGGCGTGCATCAAACATCTTTCAGGGCCCTTTGTTTTATGAAGCCCCTGACTGCGTGCTTAATGCAGTTACGTGGCAAGTATCCCTCAGCAGCATGTCTTGATGCATCACGTGGTAAGGCTCTGCTGTAAACCAGTGCTTTTTTGCAGCATGGTGGCCTTCACTCAGTTGGTGCAAGCATAAACTTAGTGCCGGCTGGGGCGGTAGCACTGGAGACGAGGCTCTTGTCCACTATGTACCTTTCAGGCCGGCCTTGTGGGTGCATCAGGCAGTAGCTACTTGTGGGCGTTGGAGCACGATCTATTTCGTTGGCCTTAGGCCTTTGCTTTCTGTGGGCTTCCTAGCGTGGAAGTCAGCACAGCTGGTCTCCGGGGCCAATTCTTGCACTGGTTGATGGGTTGATGCATATGGTCTTGTTTTCAGCGGGGCGCTTTAACGCATACTCCCTCATAGCACCGGGTATGCATGGCCATTTGGTTTTGATGTGGCAGCATGTGTTTGGTGATGTTTGGGTTGTCATTCTGATGCCAATGCGACACTACATAAATAAGCCTTATAAGGCGTTTATGTCAGGAGCCGTGGCTCACCAGGGTGGAGGGTGGGTGCGGCTTCTGCAGGGTTCTGAGGAGGCTCTATGCGTACTTAGTCCTAGTGTCTTGCCATGGTCGGCCTCTTCCTGGCTGCTGCCCTCCTGGGCAGCAGCCTGTCAGCCGATTTACCCGCCCGCCCACCCATCCTCCTGGCTGCTGTTGGGGTTGTGGTTTTGGTGTTGGGCCTCGAGTTTTTGCCAGAAACATCTGCTGAGGAGAAGCGCTACACTGTCGCAGCAAGGCATGCCCAAGCAACAGATGGTGTGCACAAATGTCAATAGTCACCAATTCTGTTACAGTCAATCGTCACATATATGTCTGCTCTATAGCAGTGCTCTGCATGGGGTACTGGCCTATCATACGGTTCACTGTACATTTACCTGGACTACGCTGGTTACTGCTGCACTCCGGCAGGAAGGTTAAGCGGCAGCACGGCATTGCACAGCTGGTGGACAGTATGTGGCAGGCAGCTTTGCTAGAATGGACAGCTATAAGTGAGAGATTGCTTATAGCACGTTTCCAGGCTCAGAGCAGCTTGGCCATCACTATTGTGGCTGCATACGCACCCACAGAGACCAGCGGCAGCGCAAAACAGCAGGCCTTTGATTTGCAGCTGCAAAGTGCGCTTGCAGCAATTCCCAGCAGGGATGTATTCATCCTCTTAGGTAACTTCAATGCTCAGATTGGGTCAGACTGCAGCACACATAGCCAGCACTGTCACAGGTGCATGCTGCTATAAACCGACTATAAAACATTCAGGTTTATAGCCGGTTTATAGTCGGTTATACGAGTCATGAGCTATAATTTTATTGCTTCCTGAGACTTTCATAGCAAGTAATGAGCTATAATTTTATCGCTTCCTGAGACTTTTATAGCAAGGCATGAGCTATAATTTTATAGCAAGTCATGAGCTATAATTTTATCGCTTCCTGAGACTTTTATGGCTGAGTGGTCACAAGTGCATGATGCTATAAACCAACTATAAACAATCGTTTAATAGTCGAGTTTGTAGCTGGTTTATCAGATGAGCTATAATTTTATCGCTTCCTGAGACTTTTATAGCTGAGTGTACAGCAGTTACAAACCGACTACAAACCGACTTCAAAGCGTAGTGCGCACACCGTACAACCAAGCAGCATTCCAGCAAATGGGCATGCAGAGACACCTGTGCAATGCAGCACCCCTTCCCCATCACAATAGCTGCACACACTGTGCAATGCAACACGCCTTCCCCAGCACAGTAGCTGCACCAAACTGTGCCGTGCCCCACACATCATCACAACAGCAGCACACTGTGCTGCTATCATCATGCATGCCCACTCTTAACCACCGCTCACATATCAAGGCAAAGTTTAGGGATCCTGGTCCTGCCTCCTGCACGCACTGCAGCGCCCGCGTCTGGCAGTTCAAACTCAGGCGCTTCACTTTGCCCACGCTTGCGCTTGGTGCCTGCTGCTACTGCTGCTGCTGCTGCTGCCACTGCGGCTCTGCCACGCTTCTGCTGCTGCTTCGTCTTCGTTGGAGCTGGCGAGTTGCACTCGTCGCTGTCATCATCTTCCAGCTGCATATCGTCATCCACCTCAGTCTCCGCACCTGATGGCAGCTCCTCCTCACTCTCCTGCGCCTGCTTGCGGGCTGCCTTGCGCTGCTGCAGCTGCTTCTTGGATTTGCTGGCAGCAGCAGCTGCAACAGTTACCTTGCCGCCGCGTGGAGCAGCAGCTGCCTTGCTGCCTGATGCAGCAACAGCCTTGCTGCTGGCCTTCACCTGCTTGGCAGCATCTGCTGCTGCCACTGCTGCTGCCAGCAATGCTGAACTGCCGGGCGTTGCTGATGCGCCGCTCCTGCCAGTGGCCAGCAGTGTCAGCAGGCTGGATGCAGCTGCATCAGACTCATCTGCCTGTGGCGGCAAAATGCATGCAGCAGGGTGCACACACATGCATACAAGTGAAGCAGTTAGTAACTGCCCAGGAAGCTTTGAATTCAACATGTGTGTTTGAGGTTGGAGGTTGATATGTGGACAACGTCACCGCTGCATACCACTGCAGAGACACACTAGTTAAGAGGGCTAAACCAATGTGTCCATTCCTGCAAGCAGTTGGTTGCTGGTGAAGGACTTGCTGTCTTATGGTCATGTCCAAACACCAAAGCTGACATGGTACAGAGCAAATGTGGTGTTTCTGCTGCTTAGCCTCAGCTCACCTGGTCACGGACGCTTCCTGTGTCACCACCTGCGATGCCGCGGGGCACCGGCGGTGCTTCAAGTGCTGCTGCTGCTGCTTGCGCAGCAGCCTGCCAAATCACTTCGTTGCGGTCCACTTTGATGAGTGTACGCGCGTCCAGCACCTTGAGGCAGCAAAGATCAGTCAACAGGGGCAAGCGGGAAGGCGAGGTTAGCCACATTCTTAGTTAGTGTATTGGCACACAATGCATCATCATGGCACCATCATTCAAGCAGGCGCTACACAATAACACATAATTAATACAAGTTAACTATTCTATAGCAGTGACTGTAACAACATTGTGCATCATTGTCAATCAACATGGCCAAATGCAGATGATGCTGAAGCAGCACACCCTCTCCGCTTGCAGAACATGCTGTTCACATGGTCCATTGCATCTGCACAAGGCAACAGCCCACACACCTGCTCCCAGTCTTTGTGTGGCTTGTTGGCCTTGCAGCAGTCGTAGATCTCTTTGCTGCGGCCCTTGTAGCTGCGCCACTCCAGAACCTTGTCCCACTCCGCCTTGCTAGGGAACACCAGCTTTTTGCCGGTTGCTGCCCCCTGACCGCCCTCCTGCTGCTGTGCTGCGCTGGCAGATGCCTGCCCTGCCTGCTTCCCGTCTGCATCTTCATCCTGCTGCTGCTGCTGCTGCCCCTCTGCATCCTCACCCTGCTGCTGCTGCTCGTTTGCATCCCCGCCCTGCTGCTGCTGCTGCCCGTCTGTATCCCCACCCTGCTGCCCGTCTGCAACTCCAGCAGGGGCGGTGGCTGTGCCTGCTGCTGCTGCTGCTGCTGCCGGCGCTGCCACCTGTGTGTTGGCGTTGATCTTGTTACGGATCTGGGCGTTGACGGTAGACAGCCGGCTGCAAAACAACAGCAGCAGGTGTCAGCAGGAGTAATGTTCAGCTCGCAGAAAGGTGGCATTACATGCATTTCATGACACCCCTAGGCATTTTTGTGCTCTGTGTGTATGA